CCCCCATCTCGTGCCCCCCCATCTCGTGCCCCCCATCTCGTGCTCCCCCATCTCGTGCCCCCCCATCTCGTGCTCCCCCATCTCGTCCTCCCCCATCTCGTGCCCCCCCATCTCGTGCCCCCCCATCTCGTGCACCCCCATCTCGTGCCCCCCCCATCTCGTGCCCCCCCATCTCGTGCCCCCCCATCTCGTGCCCCCCCATCTCGTGCCCCCCCTCTCGTGCCCCCCCATCTCGTGCTCCCCCATCTCGTGCTCCCCCATCTCGTGCTCCCCCATCTCGTGCTCCCCCATCTCGTGCTCCCCCATCTCGTGCTCCCCCATCTCGTGCTCCCCCATCTCGTGCTCCCCCATCTCGTGCTCCCCCATCTCGTGCTCCCCCATCTCGTGCTCCCCCATCTCGTGCTCCCCCATCTCGTGCTCCCCCATCTCGTGCCCCCCATCTCGTGCTCCCCATCTCGTGCTCCCCCATCTCGTGCTCCCCCATCTCGTGCTCCCCCATCTCGTGCTCCCCCATCTCGTGCTCCCCCATCTCGTGCTCCCCCATCTCGTGCTCCCCCATCTCGTGCTCCCCCATCTCGTTGCTCCCCCATCTCGTGCCTCCCCCATCTCGTCCTCCCCATCTCGTCCTCCCCATCTCGTCCTCCCCCATCTCGTGCTCCCCCATCTCGTGCCCCCCCCATCTCGTGCTCCCCCATCTCGTGCTCCCCCATCTCGTGCTCCCCCATCTCGTGCTCCCCCATCTCGTGCTCCCCCATCTCGTGCTCCCCCATCTCGTGCTCCCCCATCTCGTCCTCCCCCATCTCGTCCTCCCCCATCTCGTGCTCCCCCATCTCGTGCTCCCCCCATCTCGTCCCCCCCATCTCGTCCCCCCCCCATCTCGTGCCCCCCCATCTCGTGCCCCCCCATCTCGTGCCCCCCCATCTCGTGCCCCCCCATCTCGTGCCCCCCCATCTCGTGCCCCCCCATCTCGTGCCCCCCCATCTCGTGCCCCCCCATCTCGTGCCCCCCCATCTCGTGCCCCCCCATCTCGTGCCCCCCCATCTCGTGCCCCCCCATCTCGTGCTCCCCCATCTCGTGCTCCCCCATCTCGTGCTCCCCCATCTCGTGCCCCCCCATCTCGTGCCCCCCCATCTCGTGCCCCCCCATCTCGTGCCCCCCATCTCGTCCTCCCCCATCTCGTCCTCCCCCATCTCGTGCTCCCCCATCTCGTGCCCCCCCATCTCGTCCTCTCCCATCTCGTGCTCCCCCATCTCGTGCCCCCCCATCTCGTGCCCCCCCATCTCGTGCACCCCCATCTCGTGCTCCCCCATCTCGTGCTCCCCCATCTCGTGCTCCCCCATCTCGTGCTCCCCCATCTCGTGCTCCCCCATCTCGTGCTCCCCCATCTCGTGCTCCCCCATCTCGTGCTCCCCCATCTCGTGCTCCCCCATCTCGTGCTCCCCCATCTCGTGCTCCCCCATCTCGTGCTCCCCCATCTCGTGCTCCCCCATCTCGTGCTCCCCCATCTCGTGCTCCCCCATCTCGTCCTCCCCCATCTCGTCCTCCCCCATCTCGTCCTCCCCCATCTCGTCCTCCCCCATCTCGTCCTCCCCCATCTCGTCCTCCCCCATCTCGTCCTCCCCATCTCGTCCTCCCCATTCCCCACCTACCCCACCTTTATCCCCTCCGTTACCTTCCCTCTCCTCAATTCCCTTCCCTTTCCTGCACCCTACGCCCTCTTCCCCTGCTCGCTCCCCTCCGTCCCCACTGCTGCCCTCAATGCCTCTGCCCACTGCACCCTCTGCTGCGCCCCCTCGCCACCTGCTGGTGGCAGCATGCCCGGCGGTGTGAGTGGTGCGGCCGTACGGGGAGAAGAGCCCGCCCTGCAGCGCCTGCACGCACGCCTGCACCGCCTGCTGCTGCCGCCGCCTGCTCTCCACAAACTGCTGCCGCGCACCACCGCTCAGCCCCGACGCACCACCGCTCAGCCCCGACGCCACGTCACTGCTGCCGTCCATGCTGCGACTCACTCGATGCCCCGCTGCCCTCGCCGCCCAGGGCACGTGCAGGGGAGTCCCTGCTGCTTGGGGGGGAGTGGCTGCAGCGGCAAATGGCGAGAAGCAAGGGAAGGACGGCACGGAGGGCTCTTGCCGACTGGCTTTCCCACACGGGGTGGCTTTCCCACACGGGGTGGCTTTCCCACACGGGGTGGCTTCAGTATGGGGAGCGCTTGGAGCAGCGGGCAGTGTGAGTGGTGGTGGGACGCACAGGAGGGCATGAGTGGTGGTGAGGTGAGAGGGCGTGCAGGCAGGAGGCGCATGCACGGTGTCAGGAAGAGCACCACCCGCTGCATCCCCTCCTGCCCCCACACGCTGCTGAGCATGGTGAGGTTGCTGGGGCACATGGCCGTGCGCACCCGAGGTGGCAACTGGCACACAGGCGTCGTCCCCATCAGCACTGCCAGCAGCAGCAACAGCAGAGGCGGCCCACCCTGACCCCTCCCCTGCTCTACGCTCACAGCCGGCCCCTCTGCTCTCATCCTCGCTGCCCTGCGCCCTGCCCTCATCCGCGTGTGCGCCCCTCCCTTGCACCGCCCCGCCCATGTGCCTGCCAGCCCCATCCTCCTCCATGCTGCTGCCCCCACCACCGCCCCCCCCACAGGCACCACGCTCCGCAGCGCTGTAAGGCGCAGCAGTGGCATGGGGGGCAGCAGAGGAGGCGGGGGAAGCGGATGAAGAGCTGTGGGGAGGGCTGCACACGCCAGCACCCGCCGCTGCTGTCGCTGCCGCGGCTCCCCCTCCCCCACCCAGCCTGGCTGCAGCAGCTGCATGTGCATGCAAGGTGTCGCTGGCAGCATGCGGTGTGCGGCGGTGCAGGGTGGCAGCAGCAGAGAGCAGCGACTGGCAGCGCGGCAGCACCTCCTGCAGCGCCGCCCACTGCAGCCGTGGCAGTGCGGCGCGGCTCCGCTCCACGGCGCGCAGCAGGGATGCCGCTGAGTGCAGCAGCTGCCATGCGGGCCATGAGGCGGGGGGTGCGGGCAGTGAGGGCGATACATGGAGGAGGGGAGATCATTATGGTGCGCCTGGAGCATGAGGGCAAAAAAGAGCAATGCTTGTGGCCGGCAGTGAATGAAGTGTGGACAATGGAGGAGATAGATAGAGCTGTGGAAGAGAGAGATGTGGAAGAGAGCAACCGGAGCACATGCGGCCACGGTGCGTCTGCACCATACCTGGGAGTGCGTCTGCACCATACCTGGGAGTGCGTCTGCACCATACCTGGGAGTGCGTCTGCACCATACCTGGGAGTGCGTCTGCACCATACCTGGGAGTGCGCATGGCGTGGCGATGCCGGCGGTGGAGAGGCGAGGGAGAGCAGCGAGTCAGCGAGGCGGGGCAGAGCGGAGAGCAGCGCGGAGAAGAGCAGCAGGCGCAGCGGGCGCGGGGCGGGCGGGCAGGCGGCCTTGCGCATGCGGCGCAGCAGCCACACGGCCCAGCGCACCGCCAAGTGGCGCGATGAGGGGTGCCAGCTGCAGGGGGCGATGGGGATAGGGGAGGGGGGCAGGTACATCGGGGAGGTGAGAGGCGCGCGTGCAAGATGAGAGAAGGCGTGTCAGCCAAAGCGTACAGATGGCGATGGACATGACGGCATGTGACATGACGGCATGCATGGCATGTGGGCCCCTGCACCCATCAGTGCACTTGCCCATGTGGCATCACTAACAGGTTGGAGGATGCACCCATCCATCCATCCACGCATCCACCCATGCACCCACACACTGCACCCACACACTGCACCCACACACTGCAGCCACACACTGCAGCCACACACTGCAGCCACACACTGCACCCACACACTGCACCCACACACTGCACCATGCACCATGCACCATGCACCATGCACCATGCACCATGCACCATGCACCATGCACAACACATGCACCATTCAGGCAACATGCACGCAATGCACGTGTACCATCATGCACCACACATGCACCATCCACCATGCACCACCCTCACCCACCGGTGCAGGGCGAGCAGGTGGGCGGGCGCCACCTCGAAGGCGCGCTCAACCTCGCCCGCACTGCCTTGTTGCCTGCGCGCACCCCCTCTTCCTTTCCACTTCCCTCCCACCACCGCTGCCCCGCCATCCCCCTGCCTCACGCCTGTCTCTGTGCGCTGCCCTCCCCCATCCGCTTCCACTGCACCCTCCGCCTGCCCGCTGCTCGCCTCCTGCTGCTGCGCCGCCTTGCCCGCGCCCTCCCATGCCCCCCTGCTACCACCGCTGCTTGCAGCCTGTGCACCCGGGGGGGGCGCGGGGGTGAGGGTGGGCGCTGAGAGGCGGGTGATGGTGCGGTGAGAGGTGGGGATGGAGGGGCGAGTGGGGGCGTGCATGGGGGAGGCGTGGAGGAGGGCGGCCTGCCTGCATGCGGTGCTGCAGCTTGTGCACGCACAGCAGCCATGCCACACACCCCATGGCCACACACCCCATGGCCACACACCCCATGGCCACACACCCCATGGCCACACACCCCATGGCCACACACCCCATGGCCACACACCCCATGGCCACCCACCCCATGGCCACACACCCCATGGCCACCCATGCTGTGCTCGCCCTCCTCACACCTCGCACTCCTTTTCTCCTCAACCACCATCGCATCCCCCTCCCTTTCTCCATCCCCTTCCCTCTCCTGCTCCATCTCTTTCCCCTGCGCGCCTTCCCCCCCACCGCGTCCCCCATCCACTCCCTCCATGCGCACGTCTCTCCCCGCACCCACCTCAGCCTCCGCGCCCTCTGTGCCACCCAGCGCCGCCACGGCAGCAGCCACGTCCAGCGACCCACCCACCACCCGTGCGCCCCTTGCTGCCGCCACCCACGGCAGACACCAGCACACCACGCCCGCCATGCCCGCCATGCCCGCCATGCCCGCCATGCCCGCCACGGTGTCGGCTGCTGCCAGGGCATGGCTGGGACCAGCGGGCGAGGCGCTGCCATCCGCCTGCACCGCACCCACCTTCACATCGCTGCCTCCGCCCACGCCGGCCCCGCCAGTCCCGCCTTGCCTCGCACCATTGCCCTCCCACTCGCCACCACCGCCACCATCACCATTGTCCTGCTGGCCCTCTCTGCACTCCTTGCCGCCTCCGCCTGCCTCCCCGCCGCCCCCCAGAGCGGCCACGGCAGCCGACACGTCCAGCGCGTCCGCCCGCCCGCTCCTGTGCGCCTGCCTCGCGCCGTGGGAGGCCCTCCCCTTCCCTGCGCCGCCACACAGTGCCCTCTGCCGCCGCCACTGCTGCAGCTGCTCGTGCACCCCCTGCCCGGCGCCCTGCTGCCTCTGCCTCTGCCTCTGCGTCTGCTCGTCACAACACCGTAACTCCACCACCATCTCCTCCCTTCTCCCTCCTTCCCCTTTCCCCTCTCCCTCCCCCTCCTCCTTCCCCTCTCCTTCCCCCTTCCGCCCCACCTGCACCTGCGCCTTCATGCTCTGAGCCACGCCCCTCGCTGCCACGTCATCCACCTGCCACGTCTGTGCGCCCTGACCCCGCAGCCCTGCGCGCGCCCTCCTGCCGCCGAACAGAAACGACTCCAGTGTCAACGCATCCTCCCCCGACCCAAACATCGAACCTGACTGCCTGCTTCGGCGGGGCTCAACCTCGGGCTTCCAAGCGGCGGGGCGGCGACCCTGCTCCTGTGCCGTCACACGGAACACCACCTGCTGCGCCTCCGCCCCCGTCCCCTCTCGCTGCTCGCCCGCCCTCCCCCCATTCCTCCCCTCGGGCTCGCTCACGCCTGCTTGCTGCTGCTCCGCCACCATGCCACCAGCAACCCCCCCCTCACCGCTCCTGCTCGCGCCCTCACCGCTCCTGCTCGCGCCCTCACCGCTCCTGCTCGCGCCCTCACCGCTCCTGCTCGCGCCCTCACCGCTCGCCGCTGCCCTGCTCGCATCCACTCCGCCTGGGGGCTGCTCGTTCGCCCCGCTGCTGCCCCTGTGGGTGGCGCACGGCAGTGCAGCGCCCAGCCACTCCTGCAGCTCGCGCTCCAAGCTCACTCCCCCGCCCCCCGCATTCTTGTCCCCCCTGCCAGCACCGCTGCTCCTCTCTCCAACCCGCGCGTCCTCACCAGCACCCGCCACCATTCCGCCCTTCGCCTTCTTCTCCCTCCCCCTCCCCTCCTCCGCCTCCCTTTCCGCCACATCCTCCGCCCAATCCCCGCCCACGCTGGCCGCGCCGCTCTCATCGCCCCCCCACGACCCGTCCCTGCCTCGCCCCCGCACGCCCCGCTTCGCGCCGCCCACCTCCCTCGCCCGCGGCCCCCACAAGCCCCCTCGCCCTTCCGCCTCCCGTCCAAGCTCCCGCCATCCCGCCCCCGCTCTCGCCCCTCCGCCTGTCGCAGGGCGCTGCCCTCCCCCTGCCTGGCCGCCTTCCTTCGCCGTCCCTGTCGTTCTGATTCTCCCAGGGCCCGCCGCTCCTCTCCGCGCACTGCGCTCGCCCACCGCCCATTCGCCGTGGGTCGCCCATCGCTCGCTCTCGTCGCGCGCCAGCCACGCCGCAGCGCCGCCGGGAGTCCATCGCCCGCTGCCGCCCGGCAGCCACGCGCTCGCCGTCAGCCCGTCGCCCTCCCACGGCGCGGCGCACAGCGACGGCATCGACACCGACGCCGCACTCCGCCGCATCGGCGCGCAACCTCCCGCCAACCCGACCCCTGCGCCCGCCTCCGCCGCTGCCCCGCGAATCCCCGCCATTCCCCACTGCCGCTCCTCAAGCCCCTCCGCGGCGTCCGCCGCATCCTCGTCAAGCGTGCGCAGCGGCGAGGGGGAGGGGCAGGGCGAGAGCAGCGGCGAGCGGTGGTGCGACAAGGGCGTGAAGAGGCTGAGGGGCGACGAGGACGCGGAGGGCAGCGTCATGGGGGAGGACGACGGGGAGCGCGCGACGCACGCGGATGCAGCGCGCGCTGTGGTGTGGTGCGCAGCGGCGCCGTCCGCAGCTCCTCTGCACCCCTCAACGCGCGCCCGCCCGCAACTCACCGCGTCCACCCACGACCCCATCGCCGCTCGCCTCGCAGCCCGCCACCAGCTCGCACATCCGTCGATGGATTCCCCTCGATGACTCGTTCGTACAAGTGCAAATCGAAAACGTCATGCAACACACAGGCTTCTAGACTAGACTGGCTACAATCCGAGGTTTCGCTCTACGGTTGACATGAAACGACATGAAACGATCGGTCAATTCGAACCAGGCCTGTCGAAGTTCCTGGGGCTCGTACTTGCGCTCCCCAGCTCCTCCCAATCTGACCCTTGGTTGGGGGTACAGTAGGTGAGCGTTTTGGCGCCCTTAAGGGTCACGGGCGCACCCCAAAGTCAGAACTTGAAATCAGGGCATGTTTGAAGTTTGTACTTACACTTCATTTATGATACGTGCAGTTATCTTCTTATATTAGAAGTCGAGGACACCTAACACTACACATGTCTTAAATAGTGATAAAACCTACCTAGCCTGCAATGTTCTTCTCTACTCTAACTACAGATATGGCATGCAGAGCTCAGCTACTCTACTCTAACCCAACATGCAATGCGAGCCTATTTGGCAGGCTTCCTCCCCTTCCTCCCCTTATCCTCAAACAAGGCATAGGCCGCTGCCCAGTCCACCGGGTAGTCTAGCATCTTCACTGTCATCAGCTCCCCCAGCCTAACATCAGTAAGAGCAACACGATCCCACGACTTAATAATGTTTTGGCGGGAAAAGCCCCTCTCACACTCAACAGTGCTGAGGGGCAACACAGAGACCGCACGCCAGAGAGAGACTATGGTGGGATAGTCATCCTTCCAGTCTGCAGTGCGCAGCATGTTGGTGAGAGCCTGATGGAAGGTCTGCTTCTTGAACTTCTTCTCCATGGTGGCTGTGAAGAGGCGCATCTGCGGCTCTATGTCAGCAAGACCGACACCTGCCAAGGACATATACAAGGTTAGATTATATCAATGTTGGAGAACAGTATGTACAAAGTTAGAACATACGTGGGTTCTTTTCATACTAATCTAGGCTTACCAGGTAGCTGGTTCTTGAACATGTCCAGAAGCTCGGTGAGATGGAGCTTCAACCATGCGTCCTGCTCTCCTGCATGGAAGGGATACTTATCAGGGGTGAAAAACCCAACACCATCGAAATGGCGCAGGTCCGCCATCCTCTTCCCCAGCGCCTTAATCAGGCGCTGCGCGAAACGCCGCGCCAGGTCCTCGCAAGCCTCCAAGCCGCATCCCCCCCCAGGGTTTTCAGGGTCGATGATGTCCTCGTGGAGCTCGATCTCGGCTTTTGCCTCTTTGCCGTCTTAGAACTTAGGTATGATGAGATTAGGTCAAAGGGGGGGGTACAAGGAGAATGTCGAGGGAAATTTTGTACCCCCTAGTGCTACCCCACTAAAGCCTAGATCAATCTAGCACAGATATAACATTTGACACACCCCCATAGGCAAAGTGGGGGAGAACAAGGGGTCACAAGACCAGTCAAGAGAAGCAAAGCAAGCTCAGGGTGGATCACAACGTCACCACACACTCTGAGACAAAGCAGAGGGCCACAAGGCCAGTTCACATGCAGAGGTATATAAGCAACAAAAACAGCACAGTGATCACTACCTAGCAGATGTAAGCATGCAGGTACATATATATATGGATCACAGTACAAGCAAAGCCTACAGCAAGTGTGGAAACGTAGGCACAAGACCTAACAAGGTACAAAAGCGCTGATGATCACCAGACGGAAGTGCCTTGGTGAATATATCAGCAGTGTTGGCCCGAGTGGCCACGTGTGCAAGTCGAAGCTGACCACGCTGCTGCAACTCTCGAGCCAGGAAGTAACGCAGAGCGATGTGCTTCGTTCTGTGCTCCAGTCTGTGCTCCTCACACAAGGCAATGGCAGCCTTGTTGTCGACGTACAGAACTGGAGGAGAACGAGGCCGCTCTCCCAAGTCGGTCAGCAGGTAGGTGAGCCAGCGCAACTCCTGAGCAGCCATGGCTGTGGCATAGATCTCAGCCTCACAACTGGAGCTGAGAACAGAAGACGAGCGAGTAGAACGCCAGGAAACAGAACCAGAGCCAAGGCTGAAAGTGTAACCCTGTGACGACCGCTGCGTAGCCTGGTCGTCAACCCAAGAAGCGTTTGAGTGCCCAGTGAGGACCACCTCTCGCCGTCCTCCAAGCACGAGCCCCATGCCCGATGTACTGCACAAGTAGCGCAGTACCCTCTTCGCAGCATCCCAGTGCACCTTTCGGTGCCGACCAGGAGCCACGTAACGGGCCAGAAGGCCAAGGGGGTACGCAAGGTCAGGACGAGTGCAAGTCATCAGGTACATGAGGCAGCCCACTAGCTCTGGGTAAGGACCACTCGGCTCTACGGACTTGTCCGAAGGTGGAGCTGAGAGCGAGTGACCTGTAGCCAGAGGAGTGGCCTGTGGAGAGGACCAGGTGAAGCCGAAGCGCTGAAGGACCTGCAGCACCATGTGTGACTGAGTCAGTGTGATGGTGCGCCGTGCTCTGTCTCGGGTGATCTGCAAGCCAAGGTAGCTGCGCAGCTCACCCAGGTCAGTACACGTGTGTCTCTTCTGCAGCTCCGACTTCACCAAGGCGAGAGCCTCAGTGTCAGCAGTGGCAAAGACCAAGTCGTCGACGTACACGAGGATGTAGAACGGCGGCAGAGAAGTGTCGGTGCGTAGAAACAGCGACGGGTCAGCTGTCGAAGGTGCAAACCCAAGAGCCGCAAGTGTAGTCCTCAGTGTGTCGTGCCACTCACGTGGTGCCTGGCGGAGACCGTAGACTGGCCGGCGGAGGCTCCACTGGGTACCAGGAGGGAACGACCCAGTGAAGCCAGGTGGACGGCGTAGCCAGATCTCCTCGTGCAGGCTGCCCTGTAGGAAGGCTGTGCTAAAGTCCAGCGAGTGAAGCTCGTAGTCACGCTGAGCGGCAACGTGCAGTAGCACCCAAAGAGTGGTCATCTTCGGGGTGGGGGAGAAGGTCTGAAAGAAGTCGACTCCCTCTCGCTGACTGAAGCCTCTAGCAACGTAACGAGCCTTGAAGACAGGCGGAGAACCTGGCGGCCGCTTCACCCTGAAAATCCACATGCCATCGACAATGTTCGCCCCGGGGGGGGGAACCTCATCGACGTACGTGCCTGTGGACTTCCAGGATGCCATCTCTGCGTCCATGGCTGCCTGCCACTGAGAGGAGTAGTCACCCGCGATCGCCTCAGCGTAAGAGCGCGGGGTAGGGATGTCTATAGCATCCGGGTCTCCCTCAGGGGCAAGCAGCATGGCCACAAGATGAGGCGCAGCGGCTGCAAGACACTCAAGGTCCTCGTGCCTGTCCTCAAGGACGTCCGTGCTAAGAGCACACTCACCCCCGACGGACGGAGGACAGACAGACTCAGACTCAGCAACCAGACTAGCAGCGTAGTCCAGACGACAGGCAGCAGCAAAGTCAACAAGCTCAGCGACCAAGGCAGACGCAGCAGCAGACTCAAAAGAAGGGTCAGTGACAATAGTGGCTAGCAGACGCGTGACAGTAGGGTGCGCAGCACGAACGCGGTCAGACTCAGGGTCGGGAACGTCAGGTAAAGAGGACGCAGGAGGAGACGGCAGAGGAACAGACTGTGGAACAGAGGAAGGACGACGGACGACAAGGTGCGCGGTGGGGACAGTCGGCGAACGCGGACGCGGAACACGACGAGCGGTACGACGAGAACTAACAGGCGAGACAGGACGCGACGCAGGCTCACGACGCTCAGTAAGACCGCCGGACTGCTCAGTGTAGGGAGAAGGAGCAGGTAGCGGTGAGCCAGGCTGTAACGGAAGACCAGTAGAAGACGGAAGGCTAAGAACCTGGCGAAGCACAGAGTCAGTAGGTGGTAGCGACGACGGGGACGGCGGAGCGAAGAACAGTCGCGGCTGCGCAGTGCCACCAGCACCAGCAGCTCCAGTACCCCCAGCAGCTCCAGAACCTCCAGCAACTCCACCACCCCCAGTGTCAGCTCCACTAGGACCAGCTCCACCAGCAGTAGCACCCCCAGAACCGGCACCTCCAGTCCCAGGGTCTCCAGACGCAGTGTCACCAGCAGTAGCACCCTCAGGTACAGCACCACTAGCCCCGGCAGCTCGAGTACCAACGGTACGAGCACATCCGGGACCCGCGACGGCAGTACCTCCAGTAGACAAAGAACCAACACCACCAGCTGCAGAGTCCCGTGTACCAGTAGCGCGACGCTGACGGTGACCGTACCAGTCCTGCAGCTGCTGAGGGGTGAGGGGCACACGTGGACGAAGACGGCCACCCCAAGGAGGCGGCGCAGCAGCAGACTCAGCACCCCCAGACGGCGCACCCCCAGACTCAGCACCCCCAGACCCCTCACACGCAGGCTCAGCACCTCCAGGCTCCGCACCTCCAGGCTCCACACCTCCAGGCTTCGCACCACCAGACTCCACTCCTCCAGGCTCCGCACCTCCAGGCTCCGCACCTCCAGGCTCCGCACCTCCAGGCTCCACACCTCCAGGCTCCGCACCACCAGACTCCGCCCCTCCAGGCTCCGCTCCTCCAGGCTCCGCTCCTCCAGTCTCCACTCCCTGAGGCTCCACACTCGCAGGCTCTGCCCCTCCAGACCCAGCACCCCCAGGCTCCTCGCGCGCAGGCTCCGCACCCCCGACGACAGCACCACCTCCAGCAAGACCAGAGTCACCAGTGACCTCAACAGGCGCAGGTACGGGAGGGTCTACCTGAGAAACACCTGAAGGGGCAGGACCTGGCGCGGGAAGGGGGTCTACCTGGGGAGGACCTGGAGCGAGGAAGAGCGGCGGGGGGGTGCGAGGGGAAGTACGGTAGGGGAAGAGACGGTAGAAGGGAACGGACTCGTCAAAGGTGACGTCCTGAGACGCAAAGACACGACGCGAGGTGGGCTCGTAGAACTGCCAGCCAGGCGCGTCAGAAGGAAAACCAAGGAAGACACAGGGAATGGCGCGAGCGGAGAGCTTGTCCGCGGTGGTATCGCGGACAAACGCACGGGCACCCCAGACCCGGAAACGCGACGCATCACCAACCTTCCCCGTC